AGGCGACGCTGCGTGGAGTGTAAAACTTGAAAACATAATCGGCGCGTCGCCCCCTCCAGACGGGGTTTTGACGCCCCCTCTGGTGCTGCGCCCCTATGCGTTGCATACACTGCATACCCACTTTTTGTGCCTCTGCCTACAACCTTCGGATCGCGAGACGACTACTCTACCCACATAGCCACAGTCGCCCCTCAAACTCCTAGTACAGGAGTTACAGACAGTGGCTATTGATTAAATGCTAAAATAGCTTGCCATAAGCTCTGAATTTAGACACTCCTTTAAGGTGTGTTCAAATGACTCGGGTTTTGTGCTTAAAAATGTACATATACAGGTATTCTGTACCTTACAGCCGTCAGTTCCCAGTGGTTGCCTGGCATCTCTGAACAGTAATCATGGTTAAATTCGTGAAAACTTTGGTAAGTTCATAATTTTTATGTCACTTTTTGCAGCTTTCACCTTTCAGTCAATGATTTTTGACTAATTTATAAAAGCTCCATGTTGTGGGCCAGTGCCCCTTCCCTTCCTGTTCTTACTAAAAACCGGTTTCTGGGCCTCTCTCTTTCAGGCTATCAAAAGTTATCATTTTGGTAAACTGGGACTCTTCAAATCAACTCCCTGTGATTTAAAATGACCCGTGATTCTGTTTGAACTGGTCAAGTTTGTTCATAAAAACCAAGATGTTTCCTTCACATTTGTGTCACAATAAGTCAAGTTGTGTAATCCGAGAACAAGTATTTAAACTTAGCGTGACGTTCAGGAGAACCGTCAGTTCCTGAAAGCAAAAAGCCTGGTGAAAACGCAACGGGTTCAATGGGCCCCACTTCTTAAGATCGTGGGAGAGTTTTAAATATGTTGTTGCTTGTGTATTCTGATTCGTAGGAAGAGTTCAACGACATCCTGTCTACAGCAGGAAACAAACTGGTGGTGGTGGACTTCACAGCTACGTGGTGCGGTCCCTGCCGAAGGATCGGTCCAGTATTTGAAGTAAGTAGACGGTTGAGACTCAGGAAGTTAACAAAATGTGAAAAACCTTTCTGCCTTACCCATACAAAAGAAGCAAATTCTGGAATGATCATTCAAATAACTTGCAAAAGGGAAAAGTTTGACCAGTTTAGACAATATCTCCCATTATTACTCTTGCAGTAATTTGCTGCACATACTTTTTTTCTAATGCACAATCCATGCTTTTGTAGAAACAGGCAGAGGATCCTGCAAACAAAGATGTGATTTTCTTGAAGGTGGATGTGGATGAGGCTTCAGTAAGTATCCTTTTTCATATCGTTTGTTTAACAAACACCATAACACGGCATTTTATAGGATCTTGAATCCATGTGCAAAAAAAAAAAAAAAAAAAAAGTTTCCAATCAATTAAATTTGAAAATGTCAGGATTTGGTTTGTGGCTAATTGACAGTTAATTAAAAAAAAAAAATCAGGAAATCAGTGGATAAACTTATTCTCAAGTGTTTGCTTTTGTACTGCCAAATAAATTGCCGATTTTATTGCAAAAGCAGTAAACGAGGTCTAATTTAAGATTTCATGGCAGTGGCCTGTATTGATGGGAGGGTGAATAGTACCATGTAATAGTCTTACACTTGCCTGACAGCTTGTCTGGTATTTACATCCATAACATATAAATGCAAATGGACCCACCTTATTGTATGGACAAACATTACCGTGTTTGAGTCTGCGGGATGTCACTAATTCATATTTTGATATGATGGTTTATTCTTCAGTTTATGACGAGCCAAAGCTGAACCCATTCCTAAAGTTTGGTCCATTAATTGTCTGAGCTTCTTTATTTGTTTTCAGGATGTGAGCCAGAAGTGCGAAATCAGATCCATGCCTACATTCCACTTCTACAAAAATGGAAAGAAAGTAAGTACAAGCACTCGGTGAAGGCTACGTCACAATGGACTTAGTGTCACAGGTATTTCAGACATGTTGTTCCAGATGCTAAAATCTAACATGCTTTGTCTGAATTGTTTTGTCAAGATATCAATTAAAGCCTCCCAACTTTACTGGAACCACAAACAAGTCAGATCATTAGGTTAGAAATTTAGCTCAGATAAAGAGCCTGGGTGGAAATCTTTAGGTACATCACAGCTTCACAAATAGGAAGGTAGCTAAATACCATTCCCCATGATTCATTCATTCATTTTCTTTAAGTGATAAACATGGGAAACTCAACCAAGCAGGTGGTCTGTATGATGTTTCACAAAGCTTCAAAATGATACAAACGAGGACATCAAAAAATATTTTCTGGTGTGTTTTCCACAGAAAATCTACATAAAAGCAGATGAGCATATTCTTAATTTTCAGATAATTTTCTTAGTTTTTCCAGTTTCGAAATGACTGACAAGTTTATCAAACACTAAAGTGGAGCAGTTTGTTGACTGATCCTGCTTGAGTTTTATTTAAAAACTGGAAAGCCACATTTCCTTATATTCATCTAGAATTTGTAACATTTAGGGAAATGCAACTAGTGATACTATTTTCTCATCTTTCTGCCTCTTTCTTCACCTTCAAATAACTAATCTTGATGAAGCTTTTCATTTACTGTCATAACAGCTCAACGCATTCAGAGCTTCAGGATCTGGATGAGCGAATGTGAAACATTAAATTAAATGTGTACCATCCTGCTGCTGAGTTTAGATTTAAGTTCCCTAATCTGTGAGCAGTTCTTAAAATGTGCTAGAGCTCCCGACTTCACCGAGTTCAGGGAACTTCTATTCATTTCTAATTATTTATTTTTAGCAACCAACTTGGAAGAAGAGACATGAAAATACTGGAGACGAGGGAGGTGTATCGTTTCATGAATTTCATGGAAGTTCTTCTTTTCTGTCTCATAGGTGGATGAGTTTACCGGTGCCAACGAGAAACTACTGATGGAAAAAATCAAACAGCTGAGGCAGTAGTCCTGCTGATCAATCCACACACGACCACACGGCGCTGTTTCCTTCAGTGTTTGTATGGATCGCCCTTAAAAATGGGCTACAATTAGATCTGAACCCGATTAGTGATGTTCTATGAGTGGGCCTTGATCCTGAAATGTTCTGAATGTTTTCAAAAATGTGGATTTGATAAATGATGAATCACTGTTTGCACCGTTTCATTTAAGTGAAAGGAAAATAAACATAAGGTATAAAAATATATTTAACTTGTACAGACGTGAAGAAAATTAAATCACCCTGCCAGAACTAGTGTGTTTCTTTTCTACCATGGTTGGACAAATATTTATCACTTTCAACAATACTGAAAAATTAAAAAATGTAGACAGTAAAAACTGAAGAACCGACATTTGAAGATTTTCTGATGTGTAATAAACACAATTTTTGGAAAAGGAATAAATTAGGACACCCCCTTCCTTAGCTTGACTGCCATGATCTGCTACACCTGCATTTCGACCAGTTCTAGGTTGTCTCTGAAAGACCACAATAATTAAATTTTCTTAAATAAAAGACAATGTTATCTTTCAATCATGCCTGAATAGCAGCCAAAGGCCTCATTGTATCATTCCAAGGGCCACAAATGTCCCCTATGACTTTTAAGCACTCCTGTGTTTGGCATCTACTAGCACATCTAAAAAAAATGTAACACTGTGAAAAAGTGCAATATTTCTTGCCAGTCCATTCAGAATGTGAAACAGAAATATGAACATGAATGCGAGTTTTATGCAACTTAAAACAGACTCAGCCACAGTCCAAAGGTGACACCCACACCAAGAGAAAAATATTACAGATTTAATTTTGGAAGAGCCTCTAGGACATGTGCTGCTTTTTGGAAACACACTCCTACTTTAGGAATGCAGACAAGCGGGAAGGTTTTAGAGAAAACTCCGTTTTGATTTAAGTTTTGTGGTTTAACCAGTCAACAAACTTTTTCATTGATATTAGAATCTCATGCTGCTTTCCTCTTGTTCTCTCATACGAGGCTTAGATGTTCCTAGTTAGATATTGCGGGTGTCAATATGTGCAGATAATAACAGGTACTTGGCCTCACAAAAGCACTGATACGCCTCAAATCCAATTTTACATGTGAAAAACTTCAAAGTACTTTTTGGGGAACAGATTATAATACATTTACTCAATTAAAAATACAAACAAAAAAACAAAAAACCTTCACTCTGATACCCTAGACAAAGCCTGATGCAACAACGGCAGAGATGACCTCTGTCAGGTCCTCAAAATGAAGCTCGACTTGCATTCTGAGTTCGAGCTCACAACAGTCAGATGTTGCCAGGCCTTCATTAGGGCATGGAGCCAACAGGTTGGAAGCTTCAGCGCTCACGGTGGCGCTGATCAGTTGGATGGATGGATGAAAAAGAGCCATACATCACACCACACGCTATTCTGGTAGCCTTTTTTCTTGTTTAAAGAATGCACTAGTAGTGGCCTTTAATAGTAATCAAACGGGGGAGACACATTGAGGTCTGCAGCCTCTGGACACGGGGCGCCTGTTCTAACCACTGGGACTCTGGACGCCCCTAATCCAGTGTCCCAGCGGCCCTTAAGAACATTTAGCCCGACTTTGCCACTTTGGTAAATGACTTTACATTTTTATAAAACTCAAACTATCTGACAAACTCATCTGGTTCATCATCTTTCATCTTGGAAGAATCAGTTTTGTCACGTCACTGCGACTAATCGACATTGCAGAGCAAAGAATCGACTAGAACAGGTGAAAGTTGAAACGTAGACAGCCCAGTAAACCAAGGGCTTTGCTCTTTGCCCAGTTCTTAAACTAATTTCAACAACTTTATTTTTTACTATGGTTGGAAATTTTTTTTATCACTTTCAACAATACTAAAAAAAATGTAAACAATAAAAACTGAAGAACAGACATGCTAAGATTTTCTGTTAATTTCTTGGACAGGAATGAATTAGGACACCCCCCCAGATTTATTCCCACTTCAAATTACATAAATTGTAGATCATTAGTGCACTGATTTACAAGAGCTTTTCAGTTTCTCTTGAGGTATTAAAGTTGCGTAAGACTCCAAGAGTCCTAAGCTCCTCCGTTTGCGTAAAATGAAACTGACCCCAACCAGGCGAACTTCAAATGTGTCGGCAAACATCTTCAGTGCAGACTGAGGGTCATGACCCGACGACGCCAACAAAACCGCAAAAAGGAAAGGGGAAACTCTGCATCTCTTCGCCATAAGGTCTTGCCCATGAGCACTACAAACAGGATAGAAGACGAAGGAGAATTAGATAGAGGAGAATGAGATCGCTTCTGCGCATGTTTATCTAAGCATGTTTATTAAAGCATACTTATCTGTGCCACAGATAAACATGCGCAGAAGAGAAAAAAGGCCATGCAAATACATGCAAGGAACCACAGCAACGCCATCGGCGCTGAGCTGCATATTCAGGACCGCTAAAGATCAAAGTATGTCAAGACAAAGGTTTCCACTGCGGCTGCAGAGGGGGGCCTGTAATTAGTTCAGGACACAGACGCAGCGTTTGATGCAGCTCTGTTTAAACCCATTAAAGCAAACTGACAATGAAACCGATGAGGCAAGATAAATTTGTACTCAAACTCAGTTTTGCTCAGTTATCATCAACATTAGAGAGAAAAACTAAAAACTAGGATGCTCAAAGCGTGCCTCTCTTGCGAAGTTTCATGTACCTTTGTGAAATGATCACAAAGGTATGATGATCAAAAAAAAAAAATGAACAGGCAGCGTAAACGTTAAATTTTAGTAATAAAGATGATTCTAAAAACGAGGCAAACCTTGCCAGATTAATTGCGCTCCAAGGTCATTGTTGATATCGTTCTTTCTTGACGTCCAGTCCAGCAAACCACTAAAACTCCTGCTTTCATAGACATGCTTAACCTTGCTGATGATGATGCTACTTCCTCTTTAATACAAAAGCAAAAGATTAGGTTTGTCTATGTATATATGCACTAAACCTTGCAACCCTTAAAATAAAAGAGTCAAAGATAAAGGAAAATGAATGATATATTTCAAAATGGCAGCTATTTACTCTCCATATACGTCTCTAAAAGAGTTCAAGGAAAACAAAAACATTGGCTTCTCTGTTATGAAGGCTTTTGGTTTTGTTTCATCTGAAAGAGGAGATGATAAAACCGACTGCAAGTCAATGTTGGGAAACTGATTGAGAAACCGAAGAGGCGACCAGGGCGGGGTTCTGTGTTGTGCAGATGTTTGTGAAAACACTATTACTACCACAGGATCCTTATCCGGTAAGCATCGCAACTTAGACGGAAGTACATGTTTGCATGACTTCTCTCTCTTGACCATAGTTTCTTTTCCTGTTTGGTAATGTTGCAGAGACAGGGAATATTACATTTATGTTGTAAACAAATTCAAACTTCTTGAACGCTTCAACATTTCATCCAGTCGCAACCAAAGACTTCTGTATTTTACCTGGATTTGTTTCTTTTACGAAGTAGTGCTTTGTGACACTATTTGACTATGTTCACAATTTTACTCTTTGAAAAGGTTTCCTTTTGATTTTGGAGGTAAAACCAGGGTTTTGTTTCAAAAGAATGAAAAAAAAATGGTCTGGTTTTTAAACAGGACCTGCAGGGTGTTTTCTTTTGTTTACTCAGGTGTTTAAAATGTTTCCTTGTGACTCTCATGCCATGAACTAAAAACGCAAAATATATCCTGAGCAGGTAGTTGTATGGACAGAGCTTTTTTTTTTTTTAAACTGGAATATCTCTTTGGCATCAAATATAAAATTCAAACCAACTCCTGGGAGCCATTGAGGTCTGCAGCCTGATTGTAGGGAACGTTCAGACTGAATGCAGAGTGTGTGTTGGCATCAGGAAAAGTGACTCAGCTCTTTCCCCTGGCTTGTTGAAAACACACACCTATTGACCGCTGCAGTGAAATCACGTGGTTTTCTCTAATGTGATTGCTGGCTGTTTACCCTGAGTGTGCTGCTGTTGTCCAGAAAACAGGGGGCTGACATAAAAGAGAATATTTGAATCTATTAACAACAATATATACAGCAAGGAAAGGAACCTGATAAGTAAAGGAAACAAGGAATCTGATACACTAGTCATCTGGCAATCTCTCAATCAGCAAGACAGTCAAAGGTGTGGTCTGAAGACATCTGACTGGCTCGGTCTGTTGGTGCTTAGTAAGTTACATCCTCGTCATATGAAACTAAATATGTGGCCAAGAGCCAAGATGGAGCCAGAGCTGCGAAACAAGCATTGACAAGTTTGCATGTCAATGGAGGCAAGTTATGTGTTCCAAGCGATGCTTTTGAATTTTGCAAAATCATAACAGGAAAGTCTTCTTTAAACTGGGAGGTTTAAAGACTTTCTTAAACATGACTAGAACAACTTCATGTTGTGACACGGCTCTTGGTTGCTTGCTCAGTGTTTAGTAGTTGGTGGAAGAAATTCAGGAGTTCAGTTCAGACTTAGTCATGGTTTCTACAGATTTCACCAACTCAAATTTAAAACTTTTGAAGACTATGAATTCAATTTAACACCTGTATGGCGACAGAAATGTACAAAAGACGACAAACTGGCGATAAATTTGCACTTACCCAGTATGGACATGAAAAAATTAGTTATCAAGTGTATTTTAGTAGCTAGCTAGCGCCGATAGCCTCGATCTTTAGTGACAGAACGTGATGAAGATGCGGGTGGCTCAAACTTTAGCCTGACAGAAAAGTTTGACAAGAAAAAACAGATTATTATGATTAATTATTATTATTATTATTATTATTATTATATTTATAAAAACAACAACTACATAGAATGTATGAGATTAAATAGTCCTACCTCGACATATAGGAGTTGTGATTAACATATAAGGCCAACGTGCATTTTCTTTTTTTTTTAATTACCTTATTTTTAGATATGAAAATGTAAGACTTTGTAAGAATGCGTGGAAGCCCTGGTAATGACTTTTGGAAGAATTTCTGAATTGTTCATCTTTGCCTTACGGCACCTGTAGGGCCTCCCTGTGGGGAACAGGTCAAACAATTCAAAGCTAGGTTGTGAGCCGTCTTAAGAATGTCGATGTGTGTTAAAATTGTTTTGCAGACTGTGAGCACTGAATATTCTTCATAAATATTTGATGGGGCTGAAACTAAATCTAATATGTAGTG